AGAGGTTTGCAGTCAAGTGTGTCACTGAAATGCCACCTGTTACTATTCAACTTGGTTTACAAGAGAAGCCTATGAAGTTATCAAACGAGAACTTTGTACAGGAAAAACCAACCATGTGACTACTGACTTCAACCTGGGATTTAAAACACATTTACTCTTTCCTTCTCAGAAGCTTTACTGACTTCAAACCTCACAGCTGATTTTTTCCAAGAAGGCTGGATTACTCAAGCCAGTCCACTTGAGTTGCTTGCCCATTTTCTTACTGATTTTAAGCCGAAGACTTAAAAATGGCTCTATCACTGTGATCAACTACCCAGCAACCACAAATTAGGGTGGCCTCTTTTAAAGGTCGCTACAGAAACTGATGGCTAAAATGGTGTCAATTCATAACAAATCAAGGCAATGAAGATCACACATGAAATTAAGCTCTGATAATTTAACATCTACTCTTTAAACATGCATGATTAACACTGGTCAGTATCACACTGAATGTTTTGAGGGTCCTCTGCTTTTATTTCCTGTTGCACTGGCAGGTGGCAGCATTTAATGAGTCCATGGCAAAACACCGGAGCAAAGAAAGAACAGCAATAAGTATGTATACTCCTAGGATCTAAGATCAGCCTGTTCACCTGAAGGAAAAACACATGGATCTGAATTATGGGACAGTCCAAAGCATTTCTATTTTGTATTTTAAGCAGATGGCTTCACTAACAGTTAAGCACTATACCTCAAGAACTGATAAACAAGGGCCTCTGATTTAAAAAGTTGGATGGGTCCTAAAGTTTTTTTCACTAATAAGCATCACTACCTCCTGTTTCCTAAACCAATGGTCTCAAACTTGAATTAGAATCAGAATTCTCTGAAAAACTTGTTAAATGCAGATTTGATTCAATACCTCTGGGAACAGGGCCTGAGATTTTCTATTTCTAACAGGTTACCAGATGGTATAAATGCAAGTTCAAAGACCACACAGTGAGAACTACTGTCTAAATCACCTGTAATCCATGACTGAAGTGAGATCCCACTCCTACAACCTCCAGAAGTCCTTCAACATAATCCAATCATAGTATAAATGTATTTAAATGCTACCAAAACACAGTAGAAATCTGACCTGGCAAAATGCACCTCAGTGGTTTATAAATTAAGGGCTCAAATCCCTCAGAATAACAGGTGCATATGATAAATCCACTTACACCCATCCCTATTAATCATCACTGAGACTCAGGGCTTGGCCTGAAAGTACCCAGCATGAGTCTAACTTGAGCTTCTCAGATATTCATTGAAGCACAGTGGATACCAACTGAACCTGAAGGAGCACCTGAATTGTGTGACAACATCAACACCATATATCAGGTTCTTCAAGGAATACTAAAGCCTACCTACTCAGAGTATGGTCAGTGGACCAGCAGTATGGGCACCACCTGGGAGGTGGTTAAAAAACGGAATTTTCAAGCCCACCCCTGGCTTAGCGATGTTCACAGGTGATCCCCAGAGACATCAATGTTTGAGAAGCAAGCTGGACTAAAGAATGTCCTCACACACAGGGGAACTCTGGTATGTCACTCTAAAAAGCACTTAATCAAACACTGGGACTCCTCCACTTTCACTGAAAACCCCCCTTGAATTCTGAACAGACTATTAATGTTATCCCATAAAACAACCGAATGCTGAATGGAAAAAAAAAAAAGAAAGAAGCCCTGGCTGGTGTGGCTCAGTAGACTAAGTGCCGGACTGAGAACCAAAGGGTCACTGGTTTGATTTCCAGTCAGAGCACATGCCTGGGTCCCTGGTAGAAAGGTGTTCAAGAGGCAATCATACATTAATGATTCTCTCCCTCTCTTTCTCCCTCCCTTTTCCTCTCTAAAAATAAATAAAATCTTAAAAAAAAAAAAAGCACTACCCTAAAACTACCATTACCTAAATCCTTGTTTAAAAAAAGATTTTATTTATTTCTTTTTAGAGAGAGGGGAAGGAGGGAGAAAAAGAAAGAGAGAAACACCAATGTGTGGTTGCCTCCCATGCTGCCCCCACTGGGGACCTGGCCCACAACCCAGGCACATGCCCTGACTGGGAATCAAACCAGCAATCCTTTGGTTCGCAGCCTGCGCTCAATCCACTGAGACACACCAGCCAGGACAAAATCCTCTTGAATAGAATGGAAAGTAAGCCTATTTCCAACTAATATTTAGAAGAAATCTAAGTCATTAACCTAAAAAATGCTCTTCTTAAAAACTTTAGGCATGCTTTTCTAAGTATAAGAGAATTCTAGGGTTGGACTATGAAAAATGGGCAATATTGAGCTTCTTAATCTTTACTGGAGATGTGTATACGTTCTACCCTCAGAGAGACCAATAATATCTCTCTAAAAATGTTTTAACCATAAAGATGAAAATACATCAAGATGAAATATACAAGCTATCCTCAGGTCAGCCTGTGAAAGTGATTCAAAACTCTCTGCCATTATTCTGTAAGTAGAGTACCAGTCAGAACTTTATCAAAAAACTTTATTTAAAAAATAGTTCAAATCAGTTTATCATTTAATAAGCTTTTCTCCATTCAGAACTCACCTGTCAACATTTTAGGTAATACATTTAAGTTGTGAAACACTACTCAAGCACTCTCAGGTTTGAGAGGAACAACATTAGGGAAGACTAAACCTGAATGAAGAAGTAAAATACTTTCTATCAACTCACACTATTATGTCAAAACAGACTGTGTTAAGTTAGTAATTAACCAAGAGCACTTTTACACCTGAAAATACTTTTTCCTTCCTCCAGTGAGGTTTTGTTTTTAATGCTAAAAATGAGTATTACTCTGGCAGCATTTGACACTTTATCAAGTATGTGATAGTAGTGGCACCACTACACAAACAGGGTCTGACTTCAAAATATTAACCAATTAGTATCTTGGGAAACCAGAGAACAATAACCGTACCAGAGTTCTTGATTGGATCTACACCAAGATAACATAACTATGGACCCAACTAGGACATAATCCTTCCTGTCGACAGTCCGGAGCATATTTTATGCAGTCTAGACCAGTGCATTTCAGGGAACCAGAAATGAATTCACAGCTCAATGAGTCCTGTCAACCTCTTCAGAAACATTCAGTAGCCAACAAGATTTTAAAGCAACAGCTTCAATAAATATAGGATACCGAGGTGATCTGCACCTCCCTGGGAAAAGAAAATAGCTAAATGAGTGTTTAAAATCACAAGTTTTTAGCTCTGGGAAATATAACTGATGTCTTACTTTTGTGAGCCATGTCCAATTTATAATAAAAATAAAAAAACAAAAAAAAAATCTAGTTACCCTAGCCGAGCACCTAGAATGCACCAAAGAACACTCCTTTGGGGTATTCTATTCACCTCTTAAGGAAATGTGAAAACAGAGGACACTGGTTTTGTGAGACATCTCAGAGCTGGGATCCTTACTCTATAGCATGTAAGTCAACAATACACCAGATGTTACAGAACATGTGTACCAACATACACTGACCCACAAATTCATATGGGATCTAAGCCATATCTCCTTCGTCTAAAAGCTACTTAGAGGCAAACTCTGGTTTAAACTCCAGGTATTCACACTTTCAGGAAAAAAGTTCAAAGCAATGCTCTAGTTAACATTTAGTGTACATAGTGAATCAGAATGAGACTACCTCTAGATAATGTTAATGAAATGCCTACACAATGTTACCAACCTCACTACCTTTATAAAGTAACACTATTTCATTAGTAACAAAGCCTACTTTCGTATAGCGATGGGGGGATTTGGAGGCCAGTTGCTTCTTCAAGTCAAGGAAAGCATTTCCATTTTCTGTATCACCCACACTTCTCCTATCCATGGCTCCTTGGTCTACAATTCTTTGCACCTGAAAGAAAAATCATTACAAAACTGTCATGGAGAACAATAAATTTTCAGAAGTCCCGACTGTTTAAGAAACAAACTTTTCTCTCTTAAAATGTCTACCATTAAAAAACAAACCCTGATCCAACAATTAAGCTATAAACCAGAACCCAGTTGGAAATATAACCGCTGGTACTTATCTCTTCTAGAAAATAAAGTGCCCTAAACATAAAAAGAGTAAGGAAATCAGAAGTGGAAGGTGCCCCAATCCTGACTGGATAGACTTTAGACAGCTTTACTACAAAAAGAAACCAAGATTAGTGGCTGCTACCCAGAACCGTTTGGGGCAGTAATAGGGAAGTTTCCCAGAATGGGGGCAGGTAGGAGTGCGCTTGGGGCCGGAGATCCGGGAAGTCGGGCTGTAGTAAAGTGCCTGTCACTTGCCAATGGACGACGCCAGCTGCCCCTCGTTATCCGGGGACCAGAGACTGGGGACGGAGCCCGAGCGCCTCTCGCCCAGCCGGCCGCACCTGTGGCCATGTCAGGGAGACCGGCGGTAAAGAAGAAGCGAGCACCGGCTTTAGCTCTGAAACTCGGCTTCCCCCGGCCGCGACCCCAACCCCCGGCTTCTCGCGCAGGCCCCGGCCCAGCGGCCTCCTTCGGAGGAAGGGCGGGGGTAGTACTCACGAGCGGACACGGGCCGGAGGGAGCGGGGAGACCGAATCCCCCGGCCCGGGCGCTCCGAGCTGGAGCCAGCGCAGGCCCGCCGCCGTCCGGCCCGGCGGCTCGGGCCCGCCAGCCAGCCTGCCCGCCCGCCACCCGCCTGCTGCCCCGCTGGCCTCGCGTCCCTGTCCGCCCCCCGCGCGCGCCCCGGCGTTCGCGCTCACGCACGCGACCCGAGAAGCAGCGCGCCCGCGCCCCTTCTCCGCGGGCCCTGGAGTGGGGCGCCGGGACCCCCACGCCACTGCCCCCAAGGCCTTACTCTGTGCCTTCGCCGCTCGGCGGCCCTTCACCTAAGCCGCGGCTCCCCCCTCCGCCGCCAGCGCCAGTCCTAGGCTCCACCGTGCGGCCTTCGCTCTCGCCCCCGCCCCCACCCTTTCGGGCTGTCTCTCTTCAGCCGCCGTAAACGCGGCCCTGCCCTCGGTCCCTCCTCCCAGATCTTTCTCCCCCTTAATAACTCCCTCCACACACCCGGGCCCCAGCAGCGCTTTCGCGGCCGCGATCCCGGATGTGAGGTGGCCGCGGCGGTGCCTGGCGGAAAAGAGAAACATCTCGGTTACCTACCCCGGCGCCGGCTCGTGGAAGCGCAAGATGGAGAAGAGAAAGAGACGGGGGGACCCGGAGGAGGTGACAGGGTGGAGGAGGCCTGGGCCGGAGTGGCATTAACTCTCCCAGGTGTGTGCAGGCGGTCGTCGTGGGCAGCCCCTGGGAGAACGCCGCGTTCCCACGCGAGCTTTGGGGCGGGGCGGAAAGGGACCGGTGCTGGTCAGAGCCTGCGATCCTCGCTCCGTTGTTCTTCAGGGTGGGAGGTGGCGTTCGCGAAGCGGGCCCCGGTCCGCGGCTTCCGGGACCTGTGAGCACGTTGGTCGCCGCGTTAGTACGGTTAGCGCCCGCGGAGAGCTGTGGGGCTTAAGGCTGTGGTAATCTGAGCTAGGCGAACCTGGGGTCTTTGAGCCTTCGGGGTGTGGGCTCGGATCTCAGCACTTTTTTACTTGTGGTGTAATCTGGACAAAGCTCTTTGTGAATTTCGCACGTTTCTAAAATAGTCTCTCTGCATACACTTCTGAGGAATAAATGAGATTACGCGTTGCTGTATTACCAAATTTGCCACGATTGTTTTTGATTGAGTTAAAGACCACTGATAAATTCACTGAAATGTTCTTTCCCGCCCATAACCTTTAGTCTTACCCAGGAAGGGGAAGTGCGAGTGTGTTTGGGTGAAAATGACATGGTGAGCGTCAAGCGCTTAGTAACCGGTGCTCAGACCCTAAACTTGAGGGCTTAAAGGGTCTCCCACTGAGCAATGATAGTAACCGCTGCGCGCGGGAGGAGCTTGAGGGAAGGTTGGACTGAGATCACCTGTGCGCCTGCTCTGCAGGATTATCACAAGCTCCTGTTTAGGTCCTGCGGACCGTCGCCCAGGGTTTGTGTGAGATGATACATAGTTGTGGAAGGAATTGCAGTTTTTCCGTGACGGGGTGTCGATAGAAGTCTCCATTTCTTTGAAGGGGCTTACTTTCTTTGAACTTTCACTTGTGAAATCAGGGAGGATATTGAGTGATCACTAAATTTCCTTCCTAAGATTCTTGGTAACAAACAATTGTGAAAACGTTTTCTTTTTCCTTTGTAATACTGAATAAAGTGTGGTTCTCACACATTGTATTTTCTTTGGCAAGCAAGAGACAGAGGGAAGCATTAGAAAATGGATCGAGTTTGCATCCCAGATCTACCATACCCTACTGGCTGTGTAGAATTAGGCCATTTCTTTTTTCACAATTGTTTAGTTTTTATTTCATAATCATAAAACAACTCTGCAACCCAGCTAGACTTGGAAGGGGTAAGGAAAATATGGAACACAATGAACTGTGACCAGAGCACAAGAGAGTATAGAACATTCCAAGCAGATGGGGATGAAGGGGCGCTCTTCTGAGCTAAAGACGGAATGGTCTGGTGATTAAGGTAAAACACAAGTCAAATTTATTCGAGTTGTCCACAGTGATCCTGCTGGTCTTGCTCTTCCTGGACCCAGAGCGCTCCATGGCTACCACAACATCCATGAGCCTATCACCTGGCCAAAGACCTACATGCTTGCCATCCAATCACTCCATCTTGGCAATGCAGGTGAAAAACTGGGAACCATTTCTTTTGGGCCCCTCATTTGCCATGGACAAGATACCAAGGCCCATATGCCTCAGGATGAAATTCTCATCAAATTTCTTCCCACAGTTGGACTTGCTCTCACTACCCTGGCACATAAATCTTGAAATAATTCTGTGAAAGCAGGGACTTTTATAATCAGACCCTTTCTCTTCAGTGCTCAGAGCATGAAGGTTTTCTGCTATCTTTGGAAATTTGTCTGCAAATAGCTCAAAGGAGACCTGGCCCAAGGGCTCATTGTGGACAGCAATGTTGAAAACGGTGGTGTTGACTGTGGCTGGGTGTGGGAATCTCTGGGGCTGTGGCATCTGCAAAGTCCATTTATTTATTCTTAGCTTTGTTTTTCTCATCTGTAAAATTGGGATGATGATAACCCATTCATAGGGCTGTTTTGTCAAGATTACATAGGATAACGTGGGTAAAGGCATCATACAACCTTCATAAAACTGCATTTTTAAAAAGCCTATACAGAGGCACCTTGTAGGTGATCAAACAGTGGTTGTTTTTATTATTAAAAAACCAAAACCAAGCTCTTTTTGGAATTCACGTTTTTCCTAATATTGACAAAATGGCCTTAATCCCCTTCCCTTTATGGAGTAGTGGAGAAGTCCTATTTTTTTGAAACTTTTAAATCCTAACCCCTGCTACTTAGTGTGAAACTCAAGCTTGTCATTTGACCTTTCTGGTCCTGTTTACTCATGGATCAGAAAGGGACAGCAGTATCTACTTTTTAAGCTTGTAGTGGGAATTAGAAATATATTTAAAATACTGTTTGTTATTGGTGTGTAACAAACCACCCCAAAACTCATTGGCTTAATTCAATATTTATTTTGCACCCAAATATGCAATTTTAGTTGGTTTTAACTGGGACAGTTGGTCTGTGCTCCATTCAGAATTAGCTGGGGTGGTGGAAGGCGGGGGGCTAGGACCACCTAATGGCTTCACTTATATGTTTGGTGGCTGATGGTGGCAGTCAGCTGGGACCATGGGAACTGTTGGCTGAAACACTTACACGTGGCCTCTCTGTGGCCTGAGCTTTCTCATAAGATGGTGGTTGGATTCTGAGGGCAAGTATGCAGAGAACAAAAGAGACAGTTGCTGAATTTTCTTTTCTAACCTTGCCTCGAGATCACCTGATGTCTGTTGTGCCATGTGCCACATTCTGTTCTTTAGGTAGGAGTAAATAAGACTGGCCCATGTTCTAGGAGAGGGGACTCAAGGAGAGTGTCAAAAGAATTTGTGAGCATATTTTAAAATCAACACAAGCCACATGTGGAATTTACTCAAGGCAATTACGGTAATATTGACCTGTCCTGGAGCAAATTTGCTAGGTGCTCTGGTCTATCCTACTTATGATGTACTTACTCTTCCACAAGGCTCTTCTTTAAAGTCTTACAGAACCTTGGTCTCAATTTATCCTTGTGAAAGAAAACAATTTTATCTAGAAACAAAGGTAATTACTAAAGGAGGGCATCTGTAAACTACATTTACTGGTGCCATGCAAAAGCTAGATGCTTGTGAATACTTGTTTCATTGCAGCGTCTTATAAAACTAAATGTATTTATTGAAGAATTATATACACACAGAAAAGTATGCAAATTCTAAAGGGCTTATCTGATGTTTTCACAAGGCAAACTCAGTCATGCGACCACAGCCTGGATCAAAGGAAAAATACTTCAAGAAGCTGTGTTCACACTCCTGAGGCATTGACTCTCCAAATGGTTCACTGTAGCTTTTCTATGTTACTCTCCTTGGCAGGAATGATAATTTATAATCCTAAGTGCTTCTTTCTGCAACCAATAATGAATTTATAAATATCAGTGTAGGAAGTTACTTGGGAGAGTAAGAGAGAAATTATTTAATTCTAGTCACTAAATATTTGTAAGATTTTGGTTTTGTTTCATATTGTTCAAATTTTGGCTTAAGGGGTCTCAAAGGTACAGTTAGTTGGGGAAATTAGCATTCTAAGAACAGTAGAGAAGCGAATGAAAATATTAAAAACCTAGAAAATTTGAGAGCAGCCTCATCTCAGAAAGTTGGGATTAAACCTCAGCTGCACCAACGTAATGGGGTTTTTTTTCCCCTATTCAGTTTTTCTTGTTGCAAGGGTAATTCTTAGTTCCAAGAAAACAAAATATAAATTTTCAGTTGTGCCATTATGTATTCAGGTTAAAGACTATTACAAATTTACTAAGGGACTTCTGGAAGACCATGGAGCAAAATATTTGCAGAGCCTCAATCCCCTTCTGGCTCTTTAGGTCTTTGATTTTATATATGGAAAGTACTTAAATAGAATTTGACACCATGTAAGTGTTCCTGTCCTAGCTATTATTCTATAGTGTTCTAATCTTTCCTGACTTTCCATTATAACTTGAGTGGAAATGCCTTTCATTCCTTCCTAAACTAGTGAAAGCTGATGGTGGTAAATTCACATGATAGAAAGAAGGCACCAGCAAGTTATTTAGAAAGCATACTTGTTGATTTATTACCTTGAATATGTCATAATTTATATAAAGTACTCATAAGACTAATTGTACTGTAAGTAAATATAGTGTTGATTAGGACTTTGAAACTCACTAAATTATTTTAAGATTGCTTGGCTGCATATCTTCCGATAAGAGTCATCCCTAAAAGACTGGCTCCTCTGTCTCACTGAAGGGGAGACACGTAAACACTTTTTAAATTACAAAAAAAACATGTAGAAAATAGAGCAAAAGTGCAAATTTCCTGATATTCTAATACTGAGATACCCAAGTTATTTTTCCTCATGTTTTTAACATAAAATGCTTTAAAGCATTTAAATGCATAATGCTAGCCTTTGCTCTGTCCACAAGACATCTCATGTGCTTTCAAGCCACGTTTTACGAATCATAGGAGAAAAGCATATAAAAATGCCACGTTATCCCTGTTTTCAAAAGATGGTCAATGTGGGCCCTGGCTAGTGTTGCTCAGTGGTTTGAGAACTGGCCCTGCAAACCTAAAGGTCTGGGAAGTTTGAGTCCTGGTCAGGGCACATGCCTAGATTGGGGGTGGATCGGTGTATGGATGTTTCTCTCTTTCTCCCTCTCCCCCTTTCTCAAACAATAACAATAACAATAAATAAACCAATAGCAAGGAAGATGAATGAAAAAAAGACCAGCATGGACCCAAAACTTAAAATTTAACAACTATTAACTAACAATTAGTGCTTGTTAATGAAATTTTAGAGGAGTTATAAGATATCAGCTGCAGAACAACAAGTCCCCAACCGCCAGTCCAGAAGGACAGTCTCCGAACTCCCTGGGAAGGTAGAACAAGTGCTTGCCGCAGGCGTAGCTTGTTGATCCGCTCCGAAACTGCTTCCAGTCTTCTTTAAGGGCAGCGGTAGGAAGCTGAGCTCAGAATGAAGACAGCAGGCCGAGGAGGTTGAGAACCCTCCCTAGGCTACCCAGTGGTAGCGTTTATTCATTCACCTGTCTCCACGCTAACTTCCCTTGAGGGCACTCTCAAGCTCCCAGAGGGAGGCGTGTCAACCTGCG